TCCAGGGTCTAGGAGAGACTGGCAAGGTTCATTCATTTAAGAAATTCTTTCAGTTCAGTTTTCTCATTGATAAAATAAAGGTAGTGCCAGATCCATCTCCTGGGAGTGTTTTGGAGGATGGCATGCACGAGACAGTGCATAGACAACACTGGGAACGTTGCCTTGGACATGGTAGGTGTCCAATACACATTAGTTCTTGTTGCTGTTGTTCTAACCACATATGTGTGTGGTCTCTGGTCCCAGAACCTCCAATAATCCTTCTCTTATTTGATGTTAATTGTAAGCCCACTCTCTTCCCTCGCCATAAAGAATTATTAATGTTCATTTATTTATTTTCATCTACTCAAAGGTGGAGCAACATATGGATGGAGGAAGAGGGGAAGGAGAGAGAGAGGAAAGGGAAGAGAGAGAGAGAGCTAAAGATTCTATTCTCTGGTTCACTCTCCAATTGCCTGCCATAGCCAAGCCTAGTGCAGAACACCCACATGGGTGGCCGGGACCCAAAGACACTTGACCCATCATCTGCTGCCTCCCAGGACGCTTGAGCAGGAAGCTGGATTGGAAATAGAGAAGTCAGGACTCATACCAACTGTAATATGGGATAGAGGCATTCCAAGCACTGTTTAAGTTGCTACAGAACTATGGCTGCCCTGCTCTAAAGAATTAGATGAGTTGGTGAGCGCTAAAAACAAAAGTTACCACATCTGTTATATCTGAAAAGCTTTGAAAAATTAAAAAAAAAATGCTGTGAATAGGAGTCAGTTGTGTGGTACTCAGAGAGCTACATTACAGTGTACTGACAGGTAGGCACTATTCACTCCCTTTCTAAGACATGGGTTCCAGCCAGCATTTTCTAGCAGGCATTATGAGATCTGATTGAACGACACTGAGACTTGGGTTTTGGTAGCAGCAAAGAGCAGCTCTGAGACTACAGTCTGCTGTGATCCTTGTTCACAGTCATGACTGTAACTCCAGATTGCACTTGCAGACTTTGAGTATAGCTTTCTAAAAACACAGAGGCTCACGGAAGATTTTCTACATCTTCTCACTTCAGCAAATATTGCCTCGCTGTGTCATACATGGCCCGAGCATCACCCGCATCACACTCAGTGCTTCTACTTTTCAGTCTCTTGCCCCATTGAAATAATTTACTTGTTAACCCTTCTACACAAGGTACAAGTATGCACACTGCACTCAATGAATTAACTGAATTTAGCCACTCTGCTAAAATGCTGGAGAAGGAAAGATGCTGAAATAACTGGTAAAGAAAAAAAGAAATTGTTCACTTATGCAGTATATCCAATGACCCTTATTAGGAAAAGAGACAAGGACACCAGAAGGGACTTCCTATTTCTGGCCTGTGGGATGCCATGGGATGATTTCTGCCCCCCATTTAATTGTGCGTGGATTACTTTCTCTTCTGCACCATAGCACCCACGCCATAATCAGCGCATCAAATGCTCCTTTGAACATCCCCTTTGGGGAAGAGAGAAAGCAGTAAATTTTGTGATTCTGTTCAGCAGATAGGACGATCTCTAGAAGTCCTTTTATTTAATGCTTCCTTGAACATTATTATCATTTCAAACAATAGTATTTTCAAAATTTCCAAGTGTTTTATTAATAGGAGTTGTCAAAGCCCAGACCCCTGCTAAGTCTCAGCTCCTTAAATCTTTCTTTGCTTTGCAGATCATTTGTTTTCCCCAGGGACTATATTTACACCACCCATATAAATTCACATTATTTTCTGCAGTCTAACAACATCATAATATTGCCCTTCTCTTCCGTGAACAGAAGCAAGAGGAATCACTCAAGTGTAGAGACTGATCTTCCAACAAGGATGCCCAGGGCCTCGGCCACCAATCCGTGCCTTGCCCTTCAGAGTGGTCCTCCCCTTTGTGAGCAGTGCCCCAGTGCTAATCTGATCCCATTCCTTGACTCTCATTTCAGGACCACAGAGGAGAAGCCAAAGAGCTGTTACGTAACCCTCCTCTTTCCCTCCCTCCCCACTCTCCCTTTCCCCTGCCCTCCTCCCCTCCCCCTCTCCTCCTTTCTCTTCTTCTCCCTCTCCCAGTCTTCTTGGTCTCTCTTTCCATGACAAGGCAGGTTCATCGTGTTTTGTCTTTTTCTAAAAATATATTTTATATACAAAGGATAAAAAATTTGTTACTGCTGAAATACTACTTTGAAATTTATTTTCAGCATTGTTTAAATGTCTCAGATTGTATTTTTCAGGAGTTAGGACTCATCAAATATATATTATTTGCAATTATTTTACCAAATCAGGCTCTTTAACTAAATTCTGTACCTTATAGACTTGGCTTTCCAAATGCAACCAGGAAGTTAAAGCAACACCAAAGAAAAACATCCCAGCTTAAAGGTAAGGGTAACAGCAGTGTCATTCTTAATATCCATTTGATATTCCAAGGGGAAAAAAAACCACTCTCGTTGGCATATTTAAAGATTTTTGCAGAAAATAAAATAGTGTTCTGAAGCAAACAATCTTCTGAGGGAGAAATCTAATGAAGAAATATTGGCTAGTGTCCAGTTGTTTCAATACCAAAATCATATCCAAAGCCTATTAAAGGTCAAGATAAGCTTAAGTGACTTCCTTATTTTAAGGATCTTGTATATTATAAAAGAAATAAAGAAGTAGAAAGACAGAAGTTTAAATTATAGGATATTTTAAGTGTTTATAGGAAGCAGTTTAGCACCTCTAATTCCAGGAGTGCTATGCAATAAAATATGCTATTGGAAAGGTAATTAGAGCCTTTAAGTATGTGTTTACAGATGCCATGTATGCATATGTGTGCACATTCATGTATACCCTGATTCATAATGTATTTGAGGTGGTGTGGTTAAAAATATGAAGCTACTTGTGGACATCTTTTTTCATTATTGTCAGTAAACTGGTTTGGCTGAATGTATAATCTCTTTTGGAGAGTTGAGAGGCCTCTGGACATGGGAGGCCAGGTGCCCACCTGCTCTTCTAACTCCCTAACCCTTACACTCAACTCTTGATCTATGTTAGGTCTGGTCATATAAAAATGTTAGTTATGTCAATAAAGATCTTGTGAGAGATACCAACCTAGAGTGTGGCAGGAAGTTTCATCAGATAGGCATTAATGGCAAGCCAGTTGTATGTAAAGGAGCCTCTGACCTCAAAGAGTTTGCAGTATAAAAGGGAAGACAAAATAGGATCCACACTCAATAAAAACAGCACACATAGTAATTGCATTGATTATTATGGGACAACTGTTATGCAAATTAAGGAGAAATAAATGAGGGGTGAAGTCTTTGAAGTTCCCTTGGGAGACTGACCCACAATGGCTATTGGAGATCTTCCCTCTTGTCAGAACTAAACTTCTTAGAACTACAAATATGAGGTATTTAAATACGGGGAAAATTTATACCTAACTATACCAATGCTTGATTTTTTGAAAGGGCCAGAACTCGACCACAGAAAAGTGAAAAAGACTTTTGCCAGACCATGAAGGAAAGTTCCATAAAATATATATGTGAATCATACAATAGAGTTTAAACTCTGCATTTCTTGAGATTTCTCAGATTCTTTAATCCATCAAGCTTTTGTTTTTACTCCACCCAACAGTTAAATATGTATAATGTTAAGGAATTCACTAGATAATCTCCATGAAGATGAAAGACCAAAAGACACAATCTATTGCAAATATGCATAGTAATGTTTATAAATCTTTGATAAAAAGTTCTGAGCATATAACTTAGTACATAATTACCTTGAGATGCAAATAATAAGCATGAAAATCATATTAAATAGACTATGAAGCATATTGTAGGCACATAATTTCTAATGTCAACCAAATTTCATAACCATAAAAAAACTAATTAATAAAAAGAAATGGTAGTAAGTTTATTTCGAAATAGAAATAAGTGGAGGTGCTACTTATACCTTTTTCTGCCAACTTATATTTATCCCTTCTTTGCTTACACATTACTACAGAATTTCATAATTTGAGTTCTCTGATTTTACAGTTCCCTAAAAAATTCTAAAGGCATTATCTTCCTTACTGTCTAAAGCAAATAAATAATTCTCACAAGTTATTTTAATGCAACTTCTGCAAGTTTTCTCTGCAGACAACTAAGAACATTTTAATCCAAAATTAGTGCATGGTTCTAGCTAGGCCTGGTAACCTCCAAATGCATTGCATTTGTCCTAAGAAAGACCTATTCTGAAGATTGTGTTCACCACTACTTAACAACTGTTGGAATAAATTCCAGTGCCATAGACTGGAGTCAATCAGAAACACAAAACTGTGAAGAATCAATCTTGTCCATACAAATATCTCGAACACTCACACGGGAAAAAGGAAGCCGAATACTTCTCTTTGCTCTAGTTATTTGGTTAGAAGATGTTAACTCTGATGCAAAACAAAGTCACTGAGAATTTACTGAGGGCATGAGGTTGAGTTTTTTTCTCACACGATTTCTAGAAAAACCTTTAGAAATAGAAGACCATAAACTATTCATTCACACTGAACTCCTAGTGTCTAATTCTGCAGGACAAGATAACAACTCTGAGTGACACTTAGACTGTGCAGAGAAAGTTAACTTTTCCACGTGAATGTGCTCTGTAACATTAACAAACAATGTTATGGCATTTTTTGTTGATATTTAAAGTGTTTAACCTAAAGTCAGGATGGGCAATTTTGAAGCTATTAATCCATTAGGCAAAGTACTACCCCTGTTTTTCAGATAACTGTAATGTCATGAGCATTTTTTTCAAGTTCACCATTTAATTCTCAGAATTAATCTTTAGAATTAGCCAACTTCCTTCTACTTTGGCAGGATCCAACGACCCCCGACTCTCAAGGTTCACATCATCTGGGCTCTTAGTTCACCTGCTGGCCATTTAACCGACATCGCGGGTGAAAATGATCAACCCAGGGCTGACACTTGCTTGCAAGGGGCCTGATGAACTAGCAGATGAACTATCCTTCCCCTAGACCAAAAGCAAAGAGCAATACCTGTAGGACTTTGAGAAACGCGATCTTGACTTGGCTCTTGGAGACAGTCCTGGCACCGTGATGCCCAGGGGATCCCAGACAAAAGCCATTTGTAAAGAGGGTGCCAAGATCCACAGGAACCGTGCGAAGTCAGAGGTGGTGCAGGGCCCGGGGGCCGGAGGGCCCGGTGCAGAGCAGGAGGCACTTGTAACCGAGGGAGGGCATTTCCTCTGTGTGGAGGTATGCGCTGACAGAGAAGTGGCAGGCTGGCTGAGGCAGGGCGGGCAGGGCTGGCCAGGACGTCTGCCGCCCTGCCCGACTCTTGCCCTTTACCACTGAGCTTGCCTCACTCGGCTTTATCTCATCATTAATGTGAGTAACACTCCCTTGAAACTTCGTTTCTAAATAGAGGCCTGATTAAACAGCACAGTCACATGGCACTCCTGAAAAGCAACACACGCACACACACACACGCGCGCGTGTGCATGCACTCACACATGCACACACACGCGTGCACACACGCGCGCACGCTCACACGCACACACCCATGCACGTGCACACACACACATGTGTCATGGCAGGTCTGACTGAAGCTGGGGAATTTTTGGATGCAGCGCGAGCATATTTTTTTTTTTAAGTAAATATACAGGGCTCTGCTAAAAAAAAAAAAAAAAAGGCAAAGCAAATCATGCCTACAATTTGGAAATTTGACCAAGATTTCTACATTTCACACGGCAGGCTGCCAAATATCATTTTCCTCGTTTCAACTTTTCTTCGCCACATGGATAGACACCCTCATTACCAAACCTATCACAAGGATTTAATCGTGTCGACAGGACCACTGGCTCCCCCCCACGTCAGTGCGAGAAGAAAACAGGCAGATGGCTTTCAGAGCTGCGGGCAGCCCGTCTCTCAGGAAGGTGCAGAGTCACCTCGGAGGAGGAACTAGAATGCCTGACTTCCACAACGAAGATCAATTCTCTTGTCCATTTGCTAGTCCCTAGAAACACTGCTTAACTCTCAGACGGAGCCCTCAAAACAACTGGCTTTCGAATTCAATAAATGATGAAAGCCCAAGAGAGCCCTCGGCATGTTTTATGAGTGCAGCACATGTCGACGAGGCGCAGATTTCAAGATCTGGACTCAGGCCATCAAAGGACCCCAATGCCGTCATCCGCCCTCACCACTGAGTGGTTAACAATGCAGCGTAATTCCATCAGTCCCTGTCCAAACACTGCCCTGTGGCTGACCTCAACTGTAAACCGAGGCAGAGCTCCACCTCTCCAGGGCAAGATTAGAGAGGCCTGGAGTGCCCAAGAGGGAATTTAACCCTCTCTGAACTGGACAAAACCGACCAATGGTTGGGCCAAGTGAGCATCACCCTTATCTGCCAAACCTTCAGACCGCCAAAGCCCCATTTATCTCTCTTAGACCAAACAAGTCCAAAATACTCCTGTGACATCCGTAAAAGCTCAAGACTATAAAAACATGACGCGTGTGTTCCCAAAGGCACCCAGCACACCAGGGGTTTTCTGAGCATGCCACAGGTCCCCTATCAGCTTCGGGAATGAGTAATAGAACACTTCCAGAGTTGCACCTCTTTGTTATCAGAGAGTGGGTGACAGACACTGCCCCCGGCGGCAGTAACCTTGGAGGAGCTGAGTTCGCTCCAGATCAACTCTTACACTATTTCAGAAGCTGCCTTTTTGCTTTTGTGTGATCTGCATTTCACATGAGCCAAGCCAGTGGTCACCTTCCTGGTGCTGTTTAAGAAGATGCGTTCACTTACACCAGTCCCTTCCTCTGGTGCAGGAAATTGTACTATGACCATCTCATTGTTTTATGCTATTTAGTATCCAACTAGGGGCAGTGCTAAGGCAATACACGCATCCCTGGTGAGTCGAACAACTTGGCATTCAGTAGAATGGCTTTATTTGAGACTAAAGCCGGACCACAGCAAGAGAACTTAGAGACCACTAGCAGAGTGGAAGGGATGGCCCTGGCAGGACTGACCACTTCAAACCATGCACGCAGCCCAAGGCTCTCCTTCTCACTAGCCATGTTGTAAAATTTGTAGGTGAAACCCAAGCACTGGTCTCTGATCACAAAAGCTACGGCACCTTTGTACAGCTTTGGGAGCAGCAAAATACTACTTGTGTTGTTATCCTAAGTTTACGTACAGCAAGATAAACCCTGACCTTCAACCTGACTTAAGCCAGCTATAGATATTTTTACTTATAATTGTCTTTGTCTCCTTGCGAATTTGCATTTTTAAGAGTATCGTGTTAATTGGTATCTAACTGATAAACATAAGGGAATGAGAATCCGGAATGAAGCTACCATAGAATGTCCGGCTGTCTCTGAAAATGTGCCAGGAAACAAAGGCAAAGTTGTCTTTTTCACTTTTGTCAAGCATATCTCTTTCTTCTCTTTTTCCTGGATTTTACCTTTTAAATAGTTAAGAAAGATTTAAAAAATGAAATTATAAACATGGACTTAGGAACAGGAACCTGTGAATTCTGGTCCTTTTTCCCAGTGTGAAATCAGATAAAGATACAAGAAGTGTCTGCCAATGTTCGTGTTATTTTTGCCTCAAATGATCACTTACTGCCTCCTTCTCATTTCTTCTGTGCAGTTACACATAATCCCTCCTAGACCACAACAAGGTCAGAGAAATAAACTCCTTGCTGCTCAGACTAATCATGAGCAAAGTCAAACCTGGATTTCAAACACAAATACCAACATTGTTGTGAGGGGCCGGCTGGTCTTTCACAGATATCAGAATTTAGACAACTGGACAAATAAAGCAAATAAGATGTTTTCCAAGATGAAACTTTGCTGTCATTTACATTCCAACCAGTCGTGCATAACTTTCCCTTTGTGGGTAACATAGGGTAAGAAAGCATGAGTGTAAATCTTATTCTTTTTTTAAGATTTAATTATTTATTTGAAAGGCACAATGACAGAGAGAAGGAGGGAGGGAGAGACAGAGATCTTCCATCTGCTGCTTCACTCCCCAAATGGCCTCAACAGCCAGGGCTGCGCCAGGCCAAAGCCAGGAGCCAGGAGCTTCGTCCGGGTCTCCCATGTGGGTGGCAGGGGTCCAGGCATTTAGGACATCCGCTGTTGCTTTCCCTGGAGCCTTATCAGGGAGCTGGATCAGAAGTGGAGCAGCTGGGACTCCAGTGGTCACAGCCTGTGGCTTAACCTGCCGTGCCATGATGTGAGCCCCAAAGTGTACATCTTTTGAATATTTAAATTAGTCATCTTATTAAGAGTTTATTTTTCTAGAGGAATTTTAGTAAAAGCAAGATTCAGTGGCAAAGGCATACATCCCATTCCTGAGACAAACTTCTTTCACAAGTCGAACTAAACTTACACCCCAAAGAAAACAAGATTCTGGAATATAAACAATATTCCCATCCAATTGTTATTTATACGGTTCCTACCCCTAAAAATCTTACCAAAATGCCCACCTCCTGCCAAAAACCTAGATTTTATGTTCTGCAGAGCTCTAAATAAGGCATCCTTTTTGCCTCGAATATTTTTGGAATTTTAGTTCCAAGATTCCAGATGTTACTAATGACAAATTTGGGTTTTGGTGTTGGACACTGAAACTCAGAATTTCCTTTATAGGAGACAGCTAACTATGAATCAAATGGAAACTTCCAAACTTAAAAATGGGAGAATTTCAGCTTATCCACATAGGCATTACTTTCCATCCATGCCAAGTCAATGTTGACGGGTAGAGAGAAAGTTGGGGTTGGAAAAGGGGTTTGAGCTAAGCTTCAGAGAAATGGTTACATTGGTGGAGGGTGTTATGTTGAAATACATTGCCTCAGGAAACCAAGGCTGCACATAGATGGGTTTCAGGATAATTCTAGTTTTGAGGTTGTCACTGGTCACCAACTTCAAGCCAGCAGACATTAACATGGCAGCAGATAATAGACTATTCTTTGTCAGCTACCACTGATGGAAGCATCATTGTAGTAATTCTAATTTCAGAGTGAGTCACTGCAACAAGTGTGAAAAAGGAAGTGTGACAACCAGACTTGTGCACTTCCTAAAATAATGTGCATTTAACCCAAATGATTGTGGTTTAGATAGCCTTCATATTGCATCGATTTATTATCATAATCAGCTACAAATTAGTTTGGAAGTGCTAAAAATAAAGCTAGGACTTTCTCTGAATGCTTTTCAAATACTGATCCCAGGTCTTATGAAATATGAGTCGACTTGATTTAGAGGTCCATAGTCTCATATTCTGTAATGGGGGAAAGCGATCCTGTGAGCTGGAACTCACAGAGCTGAGTTCACAGTGAGGTGGAAATCGTCACAGAACTGAAGGTGCACACAGCCCTGACACTGGAGGAAAGTATGTTCTGGGTTTCAAAATTCTACAAATGCAGCCTTGGCTCATTTATGTCCCAGGCCACAAACAAGTAAGTGTAATTAAGGAGTTAAATGTAGACCTGGGGAAAACAAGTGGCAAGAGGCATGGTTAACTATAAGCATAAAAGAACAATAAAACTACAGATTGTGAGTCAAAATGTTTTAGTATGTATCTTAAGGTTTCCATCTTTAAAAAAAATCTTAACAGACATATAAAAGTTGTACATATCTATGGAGTGCTATATGATGTTTCCTTACATGCACATATTATATAAAGTCTGACTGAGGCAAAAATATTTATGCTTTCAAGAATTTAGTATTTCTTTACAGTTAAAACATCCAAAATTTTGTACTTTAGTTTTTAATAGAAAAATAAATATACAGCACACTCTACTGTGCAAAGGAAGCACAGAACTTCTTACTCCTACCTAGCACCCAGGACACGTCAATCAACCTTTCCCCATCCTTCCTTCTTTGCCTCCCTGCCTAGCCTCTGGCAATCATTGCTATATTTTTAAATTTCCATGAGATCACTTATTTTTTTAGACTCCACACATAAGTGAGATCATGTGCTATTTGAATATTTTTAGGAGTGTTTTAACATTTTGAAGATAATGTCAAACTCTTTCCGTGTAATAACGCAACAGAGCTCCTTCTAAATACTTGGATAAATGAGGCTGAAAGAAAGAAATTAGCGAAAGAGAGAAACGAGAGAGAAAGAAAAGAAATAGAACGCTTATTAAGAATCTAAATGATTGACAAAGTCCCAGGAGATTTTTCTAACTATTCAAAAGGAAATGGTTGTAGAACCAAATTTCTTAAAAATCTTGCAATTAATACAGACTAATCACTTGAAATGAAGGATTTTTTTTTAATCTGTGTAAAAATCTGGGATCAGCAATTGTCCAGTTCTCCATAAATAAAGATTTAAAATGTCAGAAAATTCTTGTCAGTAGTACGCTCATGAATGCAATGTAAAAACAATCCTCCTTAGTCACCGACTGGTGAATGGAAGCCACTTCCTCCATGAGGTCCTCCCTGCTTCCTCAGACCAAGTGAAATCTACAGAGGGCTCTCCACTTCCTCTTTATCAATGTCATTGCATTTGTAACTACTTATCCAATGTCCTGCCTCCCTGATAGACCCAAACACTATGAAGACATGGATCAAACTTGCTTTCCCCTGATCTCCATGGTCTAGACAAATGGTCTAAAAATTAAAGCCACACTCATGTTTGTTTAATAAAATGAATGCACAAACAAACCAATAATTCATGAGAGTAAGATGCATTATAGTTTTTTGTGTTTCTAAAAAGGGGAAAGTCATTTGACCTCATGTCATTTAGGTAACCATTTCTGAACTTCCCTAAATGCTCCCTTTGTCAAAGCCAAGATTGTTGCAATAAATAAATAAGAAAATAAGAAACCCAGAAAAATCATTGTCACTGTTATGACCAAATGAATCACTGGCCTATCCCCAAAATAGTTTTTTGTTTTAACGTAACAGCATTGGGCAAATATTCAGGGCAGCAATGGAATAAGGGATTAGAAATGAGAGCCACAGTTACGTCATGAACTTCCAAGTGACCTTGACCACTGTTGCTTGACCTTGCTGAGTTCCAGTATCTTATTCACTTGGCTCTTGGTTGAGAAGCACTGAGAGGAGTTTTTGTGAGTAGTGAACAGGGCCCTTTATCTGAAAGCATTCTGAAGACGCCACATAAAATCTTCGGCACTACTACCGATAATGTTTGTAAGTGATTGGGGAGGAAGGAAAAAAGATTTTGACACTGTTAGAAATACTTTCACTTTTAAAAACTGGCCTCTACGATTGATTACCTCATGGGCACAGCAAGTAGACAACATTCTGTCAATCGGAAAGTGTATTTTTCTTCAGTTTAGATGGCACCTTTTTTTCTCTATTTGAAATCTTTTCACACTGTCAGGACAGAATGACAGCTATGATATTTTAAAAGCAAATCCCATAACAAAATCTTAAATGTTTTCTTTGTAACATTAAAACCCGCTATGTTTACAAGAACTACGTGGCAAGGAATTCTACTAAAATTAGCCAATGGATGTTTTCTCAATTGTTCAAAATCCTGAGTTTCTCCTAAATATAGAAACATTCCCATTTATTTTTTGAAAACCTATGGAATCTGAAGACAGTTTTCTTAACTGAAATTGAAAAAGCATTTGTAACACCGACTCCAACTCCTGCAGCTCTCGGTGTTGACCACACACCAAATAAGGACAGAAATGGCTTCTTCCAGCCTTCCAGAACTATGCTAACAAACAAGCAAAAGCAGTGATGGAATTACCACGCTGAGAAACAGAATTACTCCCTTGGGAGAAAGAAAAAAGACCCCAAATACCAAGAAGCCCTAAATAACAACAACCTCATGCATTCAATTCTGGTGCTGGGATTTTTTCCATGTCAGTGTTCAATATTTCTCTAAATCTGGATATCCTTTTCTTGAAGCCAAGAGGCATAAAGGGTCCCATTTGTGGGCACTTACTGCTGACCTGCCACTCTCCGATCCCTTCTGTACCCTGATACTTCCTATGCACTGACTGAGTCTCTGACCCAAACATCCCCAGAAGGTCAGGGTGAGTTTTTGAATTTCTTATTCTACTAAGATGATAGCAACCACTTATTTGGTAATCATTCAATGATAAGAGTGTAACATGTCTTCTATTATCTTCACAATAATGTATCTATGATCGTTGTAAGTTATTTATTTTCTGTTTGACCACCGAGGAAGTGGAGGCTTACGAAGTTGAAGTAACTTTCCCTGTGGTCATTCAGTCAATGAGTGGCAGATCCGAGGTTAAAAATGAGGTCCCTCTGACTGCAAAACCCATTATTTTCACTGGGACGTGCCTGGGATAGGAATGAGTGTAGGAATAAAAGAGGTCAGGTCCCTTTCCTTGGAACCTTAAGTCACAGAGGAAGTTTTAGATGATCACTGGAGGAGGAATTGGTGCCTCCATCTTCTGAGACTCAGAGAGGTTAAGAAACTTGGCTGACACCAAAACATTACCATATGGCAGAGGCCCGAGTCCAAGTTAGCTTCATCTGACCCAAATCTCGTCTCCCTTCTAGCTGGTTCCCCCAAGCTCTTTAAATTCCTCATTCTAGGGACAAGATTGGTCTGTGATCCTGGGACTGGACTAAGGCTTCTGCAGCGGCTCAACGGGCTCCGTGGTGATTCTCGGAGAGTCCCAGAGGCAAGAGTGAGGCGGCAGGTGCAAGGAGCGGTGTGAGAAGTCACAGTGTCACCGCGCAGCGTCCTGCACCGTTCCTCAGAATATTCAGCATTGATGAGAATTACAGTCACACGTCTGTCCACTCACCCAACACTAGCAAGTTAGTAGAGGCTAAAACAGAAGCCTGGCGTGGGGGGTTGAATAGCAGTAAAAGAAAGCCATTTACTTTTGTGACTCATTTTTTGGTAACAAGATACATAAATCTTGGGGTGCCATTTTCAGCTGCCTCTGAAAGCCACCTAAGAAATTTATAACACTCACATGGTTAGGCCATTAACAAAGTAATAAGGCAGGTTCTGCTTTTGGCTTCCAATGCTGCCACTAATGATATGTCTTTTGACTCAGAACAGTTAAGTGACCGTTCCCAAGTTTGGTAAGTGGAAGGTAATGGTGTTAAGGCAGCAAGGTAGACATTGGCATTTATGGGTCAGAGGGGCCAAAGAAAATGGGAAGAAATTGGGAATTTTTAAAGAGATGAATTTCTGTGCAAGGAAACAAGCCCTGGAAGCAGCCCAGCAACTGCGTCTAACGTAGTTGCTCTTGTTCAATAACCCTGTTAGATGGGGTGCAGCCCACTCCCTGGGAGAGGCTTATTGGCATCCCCCCTGCCCTGCACCAAGGGGGCTGCTAGTTCCCATAACACTGTGCTGCTGAGGGCCTGGGGAGATTTTCAGGACCTCCACATCCAGAAACCCCCTCACCTGGTGATTTCCCAGAAGAGGGAGGAGGGGAGGAGAGGAGAAATGGGGGTCCCCCCCTTATGTCCATGAAAACTCCAACCTGAAAATATAGACTGGGCATTCAGTTCTTTCCTGAGACCCAGCCTGATCTATCGGGTGTATTTCTCTTCACGAACCATTGCTGCCTTGCTTACCTTTGCTCTCTGTCAGTGTCTGAATTCTGTCTTGTGCAAAGACAAGCACCTCCGAGCAGCTACCTCTGGTAGCAACAGGGCCGTGATGAAAACTCCAGCTGACCTCCAAACTGCACAGAACAAGCCATGTCTGAGTTCCAGGTGCCCTTTATTGTAAGTACTACCTAAAAACATGGAAGCACCTGTCCAGCTCCCTGTTAATGGCCTGGGAAATCCCTGGGAGGTGGTCCAAGGGCTTGGGTCTGCACACCTACATGGCAGACCAAGAAGAAGCTCCTGGATCTTGGATCCTGGTTCCTGGCTTTGGCCCAGCCCAGCCCTGGGCCAATACAGACATTTTGGGGAGTGAACCAGCAGATGGAAGATCTCTTTGTTTCTCTCTCTCTCTCTCTCTCTGTAACTCTGACTTTCAAATAAATAAATAAATCTTTAAAATCAATGGAAGTAAATTTGAGAAGTCATGACTGCTCTTTTGCTGATCCTGCTATCACACAGAAATCATTTAGAGTAAAATTCTGATTTAAATTTGACCTATTTTTGTTTGATACGTAAATTATAGATCATTCCTAAGGGATTGAATTTATATTAGGAAATAAAACAGACTGCCATAAAAACCAAAATTATAACTTCAACTTTTTAAAACACTATTGAACACTAGGTAATGAAATTTTGGGGGCAGCAAGTATTTTTGTAAATATTCCAAGAGTCACTCTAAGTATGTCCTAAAATTCCTTGAAATGAACAGACCTAAAAGATATAGCTTAGTAAGCCAGTTTCTATGTGGAATTTTGTTCAGTGGCTAAACCATCCCACCTTCCTTCCCTCTCTCATTTCTTCCTTCCTTCCTACTATCCTTCCCTTCTTTTCTTTATTTTTCTACCATTGATAAATATAGATTAGGCATCTGTTATGTGCTGCTTGCCCTGAACACCATTCTCACCCAAAGAGGTTAGAGCCCAACAAATTGAAAACTGAAAATCAAGGTTTACAAGAAATTAGACTAGGCTTCACTTTTAAAAACTGCCCAAAATTAAGTAATATAAAATACAGAAATAGAAAATGACTTGAGCTCCTAGTGATGAAGAATGCATTTAATCAAGAAGATGATTTTTCAGATCATCAACGTTGAAAACAAATCAAAGGAAATGGCTTTGGTGAAACACCGTCTGTAGTACAGGCCCAGGGGAAATACCGAATTGACCTCCAGGGGTCAATCCTTAATATCCCATTAAGGTGGGAAGGGTGTATGAGAGGCAGTTCTCCTCTTAGGTCCAGTGTGGGTCTGAATGAGAGGTGGGTAGCTCAGGGTACCAAGGACAGGACTTGGAGCCTTCCTACACGTTTGTGACCCAGAAAGAATCTCACCCAGCTGAACCTCCCTGTCACCCGGGGTCGCACACTTTTCCTCAACAAAACAAACCAACGGTGCTCACTGCCCCAGAAGAGCGCCCCGTGGGAGCTGACACATGTCTAAATCACAAACGGGGTGGAGCACAGAAAACTTATTTTAGAGAAAAAACCTGGAATATAGTTCTTGTCACATCAAAGAGATTTTTCCCCCCAGAACTGCATTGTGAACATTTTTAAAAATACAGAAAAGTTGAATTTTACTGTGTATACCTGTGTTATAACCATTTTGGTTCTTACAACGAAAAACTGTTTCTTAACAGGTGGTTGTCATATTGGACCTGAGTGCTAAGAACTGTACTATTAAAATGAGATTTATTGGAAAAAATATTTGCAAGTTGTGCCTTAGACTGAAGATAAATTTTAAGTCTCTGTTTTCTTCTTGAGTCCATTTTAAAGGGTAGATTTTGTATAGGCAAAGACAATGTGTTCATATTCAATGTAAAATACAAAATAAACTGGAATTCCTAAATCTTACTAACAAAATAATGATCAAAAATAATTTTTAAAGGTATACTCAGATATCATGAATTAGAAAAATCCAATTAGATGATCAACAGTGTCAGTCAACCCTCAGGTTTTATTGTGGCTGAGTCCTAAGTAAATAGTTTTTCTGAATTGTTTGATTCAGGGAAATTCTGGATAAATTATGAATCAGTCAAGCACATAGGATGATTGGGCCTTCTCCACATACTGATACTGTCTAAAACATCTCATAAAGTCTATAAATCAAGAAACAGCTCAATAAATGAGAACCTTCTGATTTTTCTGTGGATTTTACTTTGTTTTCTTTGGCTATATTTTTAAATGAGCATTATAAGAAGGAATCTCCAAAAGGTTCCTGGAAGATGGGTATTAATGGACTTTTTCAATTTTATTTTTGCACCAGAAGCAAGTGTTAGGTCCAGCTGGTCATAGGGAAGACATTCTACTTTTCTAATACTTGAAGCAAAACATGACAACATCAATGACGCGCTCTCTCATCTATTATTTCTGATGTACCTTGTCCGAGTGTGCCTGGTACCTTCTCAGAAATTTGAAATGCAGGTCAAGGTCGGATGCTGTCACAAGAGTGACAGAGGGAATCTAATTTTAGTCTCCATGAAACTGAAGAAGTCACAGAAATGATTACTGGACACTCTGATCCTACATTTGGGGTTGTGTACTTGAAAAGATAGTCAGCCAAGGAGGAGGAGGTACCGCAGAAGCCTAAAGGAAGGCATGGTGCTCTCAGGTGCTCCAAGGGCTGCACAGTGTCTCAGCACCAACCAGCTTGCAGGTGCATTAAAGGGTGTGCACTTACCATCCCAGTACAACCTCATTAAAGCAGCTGTTGTGAAAACAGCCAATAGAGCAATGTATAGTACCATTTCTAGAAGATAGTAGGGCTAATACTTTGTTAAGAAGTGTGTTACACAATTGCTAAGATTGAGTAGAATCTATTCTCCTGAAAAGCATTCATCAGGGGAAATCTAGTAATTAAAATATTCACCAAAACATTGACAGCATTATTTCTGGATAATAGGATGTAGGTGCTTTTAAACATTGTTGCCCATAACATTCATATGAGGAGACCTCAAAAAGCTATGGAAAATGTGTGTTATGAAAAACTAGACACGGATTTCAAAAACTTTTCGCACCAAAATAAACTTCTCTGCCAATTCCACTTTCCATGACCATCTTGAAATTCCCTCATATTTTCTACAGTAAGTTAAGATTACTTTCATAATCAGATGAAAGTAAATACATGTTACTAAAAAAAACTTGAGTAATTCAGCTGCTTCTTTGCCATCAGGAATTTTAGGTTTTTAGTTGATTATATTTCCACCAAAGCACGTAAGTAGGGACTTTTGAAAGCATATTAAATTAAATACGACTAGCAATTATTTTACATGTTGCAGAGAATCTCAGGGGCCAGAGATGGACGTGGAGGTTCTAGAGGCATGCACATCAGGTGGCATCTATGATGACAGGATTCAAGGCCAGATTAGAACCAGTATGATGCAGTCTGAAGATACACACTTGCAAGGGCAGAGCGGTCTACGTTCCAGAGAGGAATGATGGGAAAGTAGAAGAGAGAAAGAAGTCCAGCTCTTTACAGATTTTCAGAATCCCACTGTGTGCCAGTCTGCAAAGAAATTCCTTTGACAAAGAGCTGGATGCGGGCAGAGAGCTCTCTCGTGAAGACAAGCTTTTCGGACTGTACCTTCACCCCAAGGAAGAGCCAAGAGTGTCTCCCGGCCATTCAGGGCACATGATGATTCATTTTCATCTGTGCATAACTGACTTCCAAGCCTAACGGAGATGCATATGAAGGAGTGGACTACACAGAGACTTGATATGCAACCAACCCTATCACTGAATGTTGACATACATTCTCTACATGTATCATTAATGACCATGTTTTGTCAAGAGCTAAGTCAGGAAATCCCCATCCCTGTCCCCAGCACTGTGAAACTCGCTCCTTGTTAAATGAATATTGAACACTGAAAACTGAGGACTGTATGAAAAGTCGAATGTTGTCCATGCATCTTAAAACTATGGAGACATTTACCAATGAAACGTTAGCATGCTGAAGAGTGCCAAGGGAGCCACTGTTGACAACAGAACCATTGCATAGGGTGAACATCAGGGGCATCTTTCACGTGCTTGGATCAGCTCTCTCATTGGAACTAAAATCTCAGTTCATGTAGATGATTTCACTGATTTGCAATTACCTGGATAACTGTTTAGCAGGAAACCCCACATTCTAGATGCTTCCTGCAAAGGAGAAATTACTGTGGAATGTAATCACATATAGGCAAGAGACAAGCTTTATCTGCTGTACTGACACAAGAGAAAATGGTTTGTTCTCACATTCAGTTGAACAATGGATTAGCAAGTGGGTGCAGTCTTCACTTGGCCTGTTGGTGGCTACCCTACCTTGTTAAGGAGGGTTTCATTCACCTCTATTCACTTTGCTACTCCAGTCATCATAAAAAAAATGCTCTGAATCTTGAGCCAGCAGAGCATTATAAAGTGTGGCTTAATACAAACCATTATTAAAAAGTTCTGACGGGGCCAGTGTCGTGGCGCACAGGGTTAAGCTGCTGCCTGGGGAGCTGGTATCCCACAACTGAGTGCCAGTCCTGGCTGCTCTGCTTCTCATGCCATTCCCCGCTAATGCACCTGGGAAGGCAGTGGATGATGGCCCAAGTGACTGGGCTCCTGCCACCAAGTGGGGGATGTATGTGGAGTTCCCGGCTCCTGACTTCAACCTAGGCCTGTTCTGGCTGTTGGGGCTACTTGGGCAGTGAGCCTGCAGATGAAATTTCTCCCCCTCTCTCTGTCACAGTGCCTTTCAAATAAATAAATAAATCTTTTAAAAAAAATGACAGCACCAAAGATTGGTTTGGGGTTCCTTTCTATAACCCCCACTAGATTTTTTTCCAAAACCACCCCCAAAGAATGATATATGGAAAGTAAAACCAGTGGGCTCCCTATGCAAATACAGACTCACGAGTCCTAAGACCTCCCTTGCAACCAAATTGTCATCACTTTTCAAGCTACTACTATCTGGAAATTCTATCATGGTCTTTGCTGTGAGCTCAGATTACCCATGAGGAACACCTGTGAGTTCAAGTGGAAGAGATAATATGAGGCAGAAAAGGTAGAAAACCAGCTGTGCAGGAATCTACCTAAATCCAGGCTTCGTGCAATGCTTTCTTTTTCGTAAGATTTATTTATATTTATTTGAAAGGGAGAGTTACAGAAAAGGGTAGGGGAAGAAACAGAGAGGCCTTCCATCTGCTGGTTCTCTCCCCAGATGGCTGCAACAGCTGGAGCTGTTGCTTTGGCTGCTTTGGCAGCTTTGGCTGCTCCAGGCCAAAGCCAGGAGCCTGCAGCTCCTTCTAGGTCTGCTACATAGGTACAGGGGCTCAAGGACTCGGGCCACCTTCAGCTGCTTTCCCAGGCCATAGCAGAGAGCCAGACCAGAAGTGGAGCAGCTGGGAGCTGAACTGGTGCCCATATGGGATGTCAGTGTCACAGGCAGCAGCTTTATCCACTACATCACAATTGGGCCCCGCTCCCACACCCACGCCCCGTGCAATGTTTCCACATTGGTGTGTAAAACATTGATGCATGGGTAGTTAATTTCAGGAGGAGGCAGGGAGTGCATTCTAGGAATTCAAGTTACCGCTGGGGACCAACGGGGCTCAGTCTTCCTAGGGACCTACTGAGGGTGCCTACACATGTCATGTGATTGTCCCCAGAAGAACGTGGAACGTGGGGTATCTGAGCACCAACGCTGGCCCAGCTCTGTCTGCGCATACTCCATACAAGCTTTAAGCAAGCTCCCTCATCCTGGGGAAAGCACTGGTGTCAGAAATGAGAAGGCGGCTGAGCGCACGGGAACCGCCTTGTATAGCCACAGGTGAACTCTGGGGTGGCCACGGGGAAACGGGGCGAAGCTCAGAGTTTGGCCACACACCAGCCTCTCCAACTTAAGATTTTCAAAAGGAACCTCCCCACAACTGAACCTCCACCTCCCTCATCTTCCACCAGCTCAGCAAATAAAAACGCTAGTTTTCAATTTGCTCAGGCCCAGACCTTTGAATCTTCACCCACTTTTCTCCATGCTAAAACGCATCCTGCAGTACTCAGCTCTGTTTCCAAAAAGTAGCCTGAGTCTGGTCGCTTTTCACCACTTCCACTGTCCCCAGCCGGTTCAGGTCTCCACTATTTGTTGCTGAGATGACTGCTGAGCCACCTAAACCATCGTCCCTGCCTCTACACCTGCCCCAAGTCCTCACAGAGCACTCAGAATGATTCTATGAAATGTCCGTCATTTCTCTGATCAAAACCCATGACTAGGGCAGGCGCCGCAGCTCACTAGGCTAATCCTCCGCCTTGCGGCGCCGGCACACCCGGTTCTAGTCCCGGTCGGGGCGCCAGTTTCTGTCCCGGTTGCCCCTCTTCCAGGCCAGCTCTCTGCTGTGGCCAGGGAGTGCAGTGGAGGATGGCCCAAGTGCTTGGGCCCTGCACCCCATGGGAGACCAGGAGAAGCACCTGGCTCCTGCCTTTGGATCAGCGCGGTGCGCCGGCCACAGTAGCCATTGGAGGGTGAACCAACGGTAAAGAAAGACCTTTCTCTCTGTCTCTCTCTCACTGTCCACTCTGCCTGTCAAAAACAAAACAAAACAAAACAAAAACCCATGACTAACTTCTGACTTCATGGGGGATACAATCCAAACTTCCTCTCATGGCTTACAACAGCCCTCGCCTCTCTCTCTGACCTCTTCTCCTCCCACTCTTTCCCTTGCTCCCTGGGTTCCATACTCACTGGTCTTCCTTACCTAGAACACAATGTGCCTATTCCTACCTCAGGACCTTTGCACCAGCTACCTTCTCACCTGCCATACTCTTCCTTCAGGAATCTGCATGTTTCATTCATGTTCTTAAGATTTAACTGATGCTGAGCAAACAGAGCTCCCTGACCTCCATCTAAAATCACCCTTCGGTCAGTATTTGCTTGCCTCACATTCACTGCCTTCACAGAACTTATCATCATGATACACTATACATTTTGTCTCTATTTGTGTATTCCATATGTTTTGTAGCATGTAGATTCTCCACCAAAAAATAAGTACCTTTAGAGAGGAGAGTCCAATTTGTTCACTGCTGCTTAACCAGCAACTAGAAATCGGCCTGGCAGTGGAGAGGGTTCAGTATATATCTGCTTAGTGTACTAACTCACTGGTTACTAGTTAGTGTAACTGGTCTGCCTTAGAGCAAGGACATGCAGTCCCTGCTCTTCGGAAGCTTGAACCACGAAGGCAGGGAAAACCGTCATTGTTCAGAGGAGAGACTGTTATGAACAATGGGAGTTAGGAGAAGGGAGGAAAGACAGGTTGAGGCTGGGCTATGAAGACAAAGCTTGAATCCTGCACTGGGCTGGGACTTTGGCTTCGGTTCAAAGCGCGCAGTTATCAAAGGTTACTGAGCAAGAATCTCCAAACAATTACTACTTTGATTCTATCCACAGGGGCTGGAGCAGGGAAGACAGAAGCCAGGGAGACAGAGCTGTGCATTCCACCCGTCCTCCCCACAGTTTCCTAGTCCAGAATACCGGCAGGTGCCACTATCAGGGCCTTTTCAGCAATGCTTAGACTGCCATGTGATTACATAGTCTTCACACTCTGCCACGCTGGTAGGGCTAGGTATTGTGCACAGCCAGTTAGGCTGCCACGTGGGATGCCTGCATCTTCCCTCAGACTGCCTGCTTCCCAGACCCAGCTGCTCTGCTTCCAATCCAGCTTCCTGATAATGCACAGCCCGGGAGGGAGCAGATGATGGCCCAGGCACGTGGGTCCCCGCTTACCTACAGGGGAGACCCAGATGAAGCACCTGTCTCCTTGTTTGGGCCTGGCCCAGCCCCTGCTGTTGTGGGCATTTAGGGAGTGAACCAGCAGATGGAGGATCTCTCTCTCTCTCTCTGTGTCTCTGTAAACTCTGACTTTCAAATAAATAAATCTTAAAAAACAAAAAAGTCTTTTGACCTGAATGTGAAAGTTAACATAGAAAGTGTGTAAGGTTCAAACCCATTCTGCTTCAGGTTATCTGAGAATTAATAACCAGCGTGCTGAACAAAGATAAGGTTGGGCAGGAGTAGACCAAGGGTTATCTGGGTAGATACAGGCACAAGTAAAGGGGACTAAACACAGCCAAGCAGGTGTAGTGATTAGCAAGGATTTCTGAGGTCTCTGATTTGTGTCTTATCTAGGGGTAATGAATACTGCATCTTTTCTTTCTCTAAGGAGTGTCATGAAGAAGGCATGCTGTATACTCGCACTCATGAGCTCTGGCCTTCCAGGGTTCACCCATCCCTGCGACTGTCCAGCCCAACCAGAGACAAAGACAGGGATGCTATGAATCCCTGGAACTCCTTCAAAGACTCCAGGGACGTTCCATTATTTTGCTCTAAATTCTGTTTTGTTCCAGAAAGAATTTCAGGCTTCTCTATTTCCATTGCTGATTAGCTTGGATAAGCCAAGTCATCCATTTCCCCCTTAGCCAATGGACAACAGCTGATGCTTAAATTCTCACAGCTTTACTGGCACCTTGGTATGTCGGAGAACATTTCATATACATAAAGCAGCAATGAGGACTCGAGGATATCAACTAGCAAACTTTAGGTTGTTAAAATATCTTTTTAAAATTTGACTTTTAAATTTCTATTAATATAAAAATAACATTTCATGCAGTTCATGGATAAAGTTCTAAGAAGATGATACTTCCCTCCCTCCAAAGGACTGCTTGAATCTGCTGTTTTATATTCTAAGCCAACGTGGTCCAACATTTTGAAGTGAAGAGAAAATGCACAGAGAGGAGTGAAGGTTCTGTCTGATGCAATCAGCCAGTCTCATTTCTGTCTTTTCACTCAGTTCTCCAAACTATTTGTCCAGCAAATGTTTGAACCTAGTTCTCACCCTTCTAGGAACTGGAGATTAAAGCTCTGAGGACACTGTTAAAAAATACACAACACGAGAAAAAACCTATTGCTTGTAAAGACAACTCATGACGCTAAAAAAAAGAAAAACTGAACTGAAACCAGTGCATGCTTTCGCTTTGTGCCACATGCCCGGAGTCCTTTTGTTCATGTTATTGATGGGATTTCTTCTAACATTTCTTGCCAAACCATTCCTATGGAAGTCTGTGCTCAGGGCAAAGTCCAATTTAGTATCCTCCGGTCTCCCTCCTACTGCCTGTCCCTAAGTTCCTCTTCACACACATCTTTTTATAGGGAAAGGTAAGGAAAGAAGGCAGATTTTGAAGGAAAAAAGGACAAGCAAAACTGTGTGTGTGTGTGTGTGTGTGTGCACGTGCGTGTGTGAGGCGTGCCCTGTTTTACCACAGCCAAGGGAGCCAACAGGAAGGCTCTGTGTTAAATGTCAGCATCACTTGCCTTGTAGCAGGCCCTAGGTCTCCTGCTTCTCCTTCTGTAGCCCTGTGATCTCTGATAGCCCGGGGGGCCTGGCCAGTTAGCTGCACAGCACCGAACCCAACACAACTGCCTTGGGGATAAAGAGGTGGCTCTTGATACATCTGCCTAACAATCAGTAATTCACTGAAATGGATTTTCTGATGCGTAAAGTAACCATTTTTCTTATAATCTGCTGACTTTTACAAGCACTGCCCTAAGAGTCATATTCCCAAAAAAGTGGTGCAAAAATGCTGAAACTGGTTTCTGTTTGGGTAACATTTGTTTTTTTATGACAAAGTGATGAATAGCCACGATAGAAAATTTAGAAATTGCAGAAACGTAAAAAGAAAAAATAAGTTTCACCTATACCAAGAAGTAACTTGTTCATCTGACTCATTTTCTTCATTTTATACGAGTATTTATGCATCTAATTTTAATATTCACTTGAGATTTTAGTGTATGTGATTTTGGAATGTGTTTTGTACTTCACATTTTACTATAAACACTTCCCCATATCATTTCAGGTTATTTGAAAAATATTATTTTTAATGGTGGATAAGATTCTTTTGGCTGGTTCTAACATCAACATTTGTTTAAATATTAGTTTACATGCAAGAGTCAGAACACATCTAAGTTCTCAATATTGTAGTTCTTTTGCAGTGATCATCTTTGTACATAAATCTTTTTAAAATATTAAATTATTTCCATTATCCAATACTTATGAGTGCACCCACTAGATGAAGACACAGTATTTGGAAGCTTAGGGCTCCAGATGATTTTTAACCATTTTTCTGGAATAAAACCATCAAATTAGATCAAACATCAATATAATAAACCACATATGTGCATATTATTTCTTTAAGACTTTTGAAAAGATTAGAAAAAGATAACTCAAAATAACACTAGAGTATTTTACCATCAACAAAATACAAAAGATTTCACTACATGAAAATTAGTCAGAACTTAGAGCAAGAAAAAATAACTCTTCACTTATAGGATAAAAAAGAACCTAACCATATATGTACTTATTTTATGAAAAGGTCAAAAGCAATTTAAAAAAAATAGAAAGAGGAAAAAGAAAAAGAGACATATGTCTTTAATTAGAGCTACACAGAGTTGGTCAACCACTGGAGGTCTCATGGCCCGTGAGGTCCCAGAAGCAGTGGGCTGCCATTTCAGACAAATTATGCCCACTGAGGTCACATCTCTCCACTTGAGGCAGTTTGTCATGACGGTAACGTTCTGCTTTTAAAAGTCCTGAACTTTAAAAATACCCTTGTGTGCCCTCTAGTGTTGATGTTCATCAAAGCCTTCAAGAAGTTTCCATCTTCTAGACTGCAGCCCAATACCATTTCATTCCTATTTAGACCACCTGTATATCAACATCCGAAGGGAGCCAATCTATTTAAAAATTATCGAAGATCAAGGGAGCTAAAGCAGGGGTTGGAAAGCTGCACCTGATTCTTTTCACAACTAAAGTTTTGTTGAAACGCAGTGCGTTCATGCATTACAAATGAGTATTGTCTATGGACAAGTGTCTATGGACACTAGCGGAGCTGAGTGATACAGAAAGCTGAGTGTAACACAAAGGGCTAAGGTGTTCACTACCCAGCCCTTCCCAGAAACGTCCGCTGGCGCAGATGGGATCCCCTGCCAGCTTACAGCGTCCCTTCTTTTGGCCCTTTCCCATCGCCCACCAGATGACTAGCTCAAACAAATACAGTCGCGTGCCAGTTAGCTTGTGGATCAAGGACCAACTTTGTCTTTCCTTGCTGACCTTGATCTTTATCGTTTCTACTCAGTGCGACAGCCCCCTCCACCTCAAGATTTTAGCACTGATATGATTACATTGGACAGCACACAATAAGATCAAAGCTCTTTCCCCATCACGACCAGCAGCCGAGCAACGTCTTAGCGGTTGCATGAACTCATCTCACACGTGGGCATTGGCCGGCCAGTGCCATGAGGCATGCACAGACCCCAGGCTGGGCTTTGTCAGAACAAACCAGAGGTAGATTAGCACCACCAGCTCTCCTTATTTTTATACATGTAAAAATAAAGCTTGCAACTGTTTCTAGAAACAGATACGATCTTTCCAGAAAACTGTGAACACACCATTTATAAGTAATGTGAAATTTACTTCAGTTCATGCTTGATTCAAATCTCTTACAATCATGGCTTTTACATCCTACGGCAAGCACGGTGCACTATATTAAGGCATGGCCCTATATGAAGAACTGAACAGGTTACGTTCCTTCACCAGGACTAATCTCACGTCTTCGCGAGACCCTCAGCCCGAGACCCTCTCATATCCTCAGCTGTGTGTTTCTAGAAGTTAAATGAAATTTGCTACTCATTATTTGACATGATTGTTAACATAGTTCATGAGAGCTCTTGTTTGATATGGCTCTCAGAAGATGGATCTATTTCATTGCCTCCGAATTTAAAATTTGACTTCTGTTTCAAAATGGTTACCAGTCATTCTGTTTGTCTCCTCCTCACCCCCCACCAGCCCCCAATACACATCAGCAATAGTCTGACCAGAAATTCCTCATGGTAATAGGAGAAAACACAAAACCGAGGGCTGAGAAAAGTGGGTGAACACAGCCTTTGGTTAATTCTTTTGCTCACGAAAGGGCATCTTTCACTTGTGACGTGTGTGTCTGTGGCCATCACAATTACATGCCTGAGCTGAAGGCCCTTCTCAGCCACACAGTCTCTCACTGCATGGAAATTCTCTGCTCAGCCTTTTAGACCCTCCCTCCTCTCACCCCATCACACTCTTCTCCTTGAACCTGACACAGAAATTACTTAAATACAAAGCCAAATGCACACACCACATAGATGTACCAGGGAGCCGCATACTCAAAACTTTTGTCAAATAACGTCACCTTTCCATGTCGTTTTTCTCACATGTGCAATAACCACCACAACAAATTGCATGGTTGCACGTCCTCTACCATGCGCACTGTTAATTTAAAAGAAATTGGGAAAAAGTTGCACCATACCTCTAGTCCTCAAGCAAGAAAAAATATGTCCAAACTTACCTGCAAAAGACAAGAAAAGAAGGCATTAAATCTCAAATCAGAGCAATTGTAATTCTTCTTCTTAGGCACATTTGTCATCATAGTTTTTATTTATCACTGTGCTTATCATTTTCTGTACCTGTGCTTTTTAGTTCTTGTACATGACAACAGAGCCAGCAGTGATATTCTCTAAAGGCCAATCCTCACTATGCATTGGGTCCTTTTTCCATATGCAACCCTCTAGAGAGCTTTAAGAACAAAAACTTAAACATTTCCTGGAACAGGGAAATCTGTGCATAACAAGGCATAGTTTGGGGTAATAAAATGTAAACAGAGAAAATGGATTATAATTTGGAGTCAGTCCAATGTCGGTTTAATTTCCAGGTTTACTATCTGTATACCCCTTGAGCCTCAGTAGTCCCATCTGTAAAATAGGGATATTCTATTTATCTAACTGGATTGTGGGTCTGAGTCTTAGCTTATGTGGCATGTCGCAAAAATTCAATAAATATTAACGCCTTCCTATAAGCTTCTTGTCACTATTTGGTTGAAAGATAGATGTTTCATGGAGTCTATGAGATATAAAAGATCAATTTAAGCAGGACACAGAATTTCTACATTTTCCTGCTTTCTTTATAGTGGAACCAAGTTGTTTTCTGTGGAATATTCGTCATCATCTAAATGCTGGGAAGCTTCTTTCCAATGTAAACTCGAGCATTTCATTCAGAGTTCAAGCAACCACCTGAGAGTACAGCAGTCTTGAGAACGCTGTCCGTGCCCATCTCCCCACACCCTGCCCCCGATGCTTCCCCTGCCCTCTCCTACCGCAGCCTCCCTGGTTTCTAGCGAATCCTGCAAAACAGCAAGGATGCTGCAGACTCAGGACGCCTGGGTTCACCAGTCCTCTGCCCTGCTCACTCCCCTGCTCGTCAAGCCCCGGAGCAAAGGCATGCCTCCTCTGGGGGACGGCTCACCTCTCTGCTGAAAATTCCAGCCAGACTCTCAGCCGCTCCTTCTAACTTCCCTTCCTTTGCACTCTCTCCTTTCCCAGAGCATAAAGCCTTCCAACAAATTGCATGATGTGCTTATTTATGATGTTTATTGACTCTCTGAGAAGCTACCACCCTTTATACAGTACACGCACATGGGTTTCTGTCTGTTTTGTTAACTGTTGAAAACCCACGATCTTTAAAATCTGGTAAATAGAAGATAGTTTAAAAATACTTGTTTAAGCAATGAATAAAAAACACATTGGTGCCTATATAAAATGTTTAATTTATAAATTTATTATACCAGTAAACATTCACATTTTATCCCACAAATGACTACTTAATATTCAATTATTCTTGCTGGATATAGATTATTTTACTTAGTGATGTCTATGAGAGACACATTAGCTGGACCCAGGCAGCCTTGTTGAAAGGAGCCATTGGCCAGTTCTCACCTATGCTTTCTCAGAGTCTCCGGCCTCTCCCATGACATTTTTCTGAGAAATAAATCTTGGCTATTTCTGAGGTAGGTGTCAAGGTGGGAAGGGAGTCTGCCCCTCCTTTTAAATTCAACAGATGGAGACAACATGAACACATGTGGTCAATCCAATGCAATTAAATAGTCTGCATTTTTAGATTGTGGGTGCAATTGCAAAACCATTTCATCTGTTAAAAGAAGACAAAAGCATAAGAATATTTCCAAAATTTTTGTATGGAATACTAGTTTCTGAGATGTCAAAACCCAGTTGAATAATAAAAATAAGGAAAATACTAAATATTCAAGCAATTTGGAAAATATTGGATTGGCAATTTTAAAGAACATTTTTTATTATAGGGCCTCTAAGAGTGTTGAATAGACTAACTGGAATGCAACTATTCTAGGAAGTGAAGAACATTTGCAGAATGATTGGACTGTCCCATCTCTACATCAATGAATATCAGAGTAAGCCATCTTTTAGAATATGACTTGGGAATTGATGTGCAAAGCAACTTTTGTGAAAAAAAAAAAAAACAAAAAAACAAAAAACTGTTTGCGAGAGATAGAGAAAAGGAGAGGGAGAGACAGAGAGACACACACACAGGGGGACAGATACACATCTGGCTCACTCTCCAGATGCCCACACGGCCAGGATGGGACAGAATGAAGCCATGGACCTGGCAGACCGTCCAGGTCTCCCACATGTGTGGCAGAGACTCCATTACGTGAGCCACCAACTGTTGCTCTTCAGGATGCACATTAGCAGGAAGCTGGAGTCAGGAATGGTGTCTAGAATTGAGGCCAAACATTCCAGTACAGGATAAGAGCGTCCCACATGGTGCTGAAACCATGGTTCCAAAAGCCTGCCCCAGCACAAAACGTCTAAGACTAAGTCTGATACTGATCACAGTGCTTCTATTACTCCTCTAAGAATTCTTTAACCTTAGCTAGAGAGGTAAAATGAATTGTTAACCACTTGAAAAACAGCATGATTGCACTGAGGAATAAAAAAAATGTTAACTCACTTTCAGGTGAGTGCTTTCTCCATTTTATCAAATTGCCTGCTAAATTAACATTCATCATAATACTTGAATTATGAACATTTAATGGAAAAGTTCCTTCCCAAGATTATTCTACACTGGAAGCCAATTTCTCACCATCCTGAAATTTGTTCAAGCAGTCTGCATATAATTTTTATTTTATTTATTTAATTAATTTAGACAGGCAGAGTGGACAGAGAGAGAGAGAGAGAAAGGTCTTCCTTTTGTCGTTGGTTCACCCTCCAACGGCCGCCGCGGCCGGTGCACCGCGCTGATCTGAAGGCAGGAGCCAGGTGCTTGGGCCATCCTCCACTGCACTCCCTGGCCACAGCAGAGAGCTGGCCTGGAAGAGGGGCAACCGGGACA